ATCTGGAGGGTTCTACACTGTGTGACCATGGGTCTCAGGCCAGGGATTGTCCTCTCCTCTCTTCTTAAACAGACCATGACTCATGCTGACTGAGCCCTTGTCTTGGGCTCTCTCTCAGCAGGTCCTATCAGAGAAACGCCTCCTCTAGACACATAGCAAGCTCCCTGAGACTTCAAGCAGGCACCTGACAGCCCAAGTACCATAAGGGATACATAGAAACTATCACCAAGACAGACGTGTCTAGGCCAAGGGTGTAATCCTACTTGGTTGCAAAGCACTTTACAGAAGCCAGAAGCTTTGTAAAGCATTGCTGGACCCAGGAACGTGACAACAGAAACTAAGCAGCTGGGACTGCATCTGTTTCTAGGGGCCTAAGTCCAGCTACTTCTGGTTTCCTTTAAACTTTAGTCCCTACTGCTTGAAATGAACAATATGCATAAAGGGGTCACCACAGAAAGTGATTAAAATAGACATGTCAAGAATCTTTTTTCTCAGCTTTGAGATAGTTGAAGACATTTTTCAAGAACCATTTTCTAGAAATTTAATTTGCTATCCATGTCATACATGGGCTTTGAGAAAAGCATTCTGGAAAAAATATCGATTTCAGACAACCCAGTAACTAGGTTTGTGTTTTTTTTCCTATTAAACATGTTTCATTTGGAGTGTGCTTTGGGGGACTTTTTTTCACATTTCACATTGCTGGTTAAACACATCAAAATACAGGAAACCCTCCAAATTCAGGCTCTCCTGTCTGTTTTATATTTTTCTTTCTAGCTACAACCTAACATTTTGTGGAAAAAGGAAACAGGTGTATGATGATGGGCTCACTTTTCTAACATCATTCCAAAATACCCAATTTTTGACAAAGGTCTTTAGCTAACTATTAAATTAGGAACAATTATATGCTAATATGCTATTTCCAGTATTTAGACCAAATATCTTTCAAATATATATTCTATGTTTCCCTATGTTCATAAGTGATTCATTAACATAAAACATAATTTACATGTCTTTTTTCTCGGCTTTGAAATAGCTGAAGACATTTTTCAAGGACAATTTTCTAGAAATGTAATTTGTAATATGAAATATTTTTCTTTAGAAAGTTTCTAATGTCATCATGATTCTGATTTGATTTTCTCCCTGAGGTTCAGATGCGTAATCTCTTGGGTATGCCCTGGCTGACTTTCTGGGAAATCCAAAGCTTTGAATCAAAGCGAGTGTTGCCTCCCCTAGGAAATCTACTGTTTAACTGTCTCTTTCTGTATCAGTGATGTGAAGCTCCTAGTACACAAGCTTCTAGAACAGATTATTCCTCAGGACACACATTTCTGGTCAGATACTCTAATATAGCTCTATGCACTAATAACACTGGAAAATAGTTTATGATAGAGAGTAACCAGTCATCTAGCTCCCATGCCCCTCAGGGCCATGATTCTAAGGCACAGGGTCCACATATTTCCCAGTGAAAAGAAGCTCCAGTCACCCACAGTGGTGACTGCTAGCACGACCCCTCTGGACCCAAGCTTATCTTAGCTCTTGGTCACTCAGATCACAAACAAATTTGCCCTTGATTCCTTGTTTCAAGGTACACTTTCAATAGGACTCAAGCTAACCCAACTTGTTTCACTGACACTTTTGTGCTAATCTTGGCAAAGTTTCTTCACATTTCTATTTAGGTTTGCACGTATTTGTTCTGTTTTCTCATTGCTTCTCTTGATGAAACTTAAGTGTTGTGGAGCCCCGTCTCTGCTTTGTTGCTCACATACAAACATTAACAGGCTAGTGACGGTTCTTGCTCCTCTGGTACATTAGAAGGGGAAGAGAGCTTTAAAACCAAGACCTCTAATCCCTCCGTGATATTCTTATTGGCTTAGTTTGAGATGGGACATGGACACAGGCATTAATTAAATTTCCCTGGTGAATGTCAACCAGTACAGCCATTATAAAGAAGTATATAGAGGTTTCTCAAAAATGTAGAAACAGAACTGCTATATGATCCAGTATTCCAACTTCTGAGTAGATAGCCAAGGGATATTAAAATCAGTATGTCAAAGAGGTATCTGAATTTCCAAGTTCACCTCAGCACTATTCAAAATAGCTAAAATATAGAATTAACCTAAGTGCCTATCTTAGATAAAAAACAGAAGAAAACTGTTGTATATATATCCACAATGAGATACCAGTCAGCCTTAAAAAAGAAGGAAATAAGTTCTGACATTCACAACAACATGGATGAAACTGGGGGACATTACACTAAATGAAATAAGCCAAGCACAGAAAGAAAAATGCCACAGGTTCTCATTCGTTTGTGGGAACTAAACCAATGGAACTCAGAGAACCAGAACAAATGGTGGGTACCAGAGGCTGAGGATGTGGGAATGGTGAGATCTGAGTAAAAGAGTATAATGTTTCAGTAGGGCAAGAAGAATAAGGTTTATAGGAACTATTGTACGTTATAGTGAAAATAATGATATATTTTTAAATATCAGAATAAATTTCCAGTGTTCTCACCTCAAAAAAAAAATTGAGGTGATGGATATGTTAATTAACTTTAATCATTCCACACTGTACAAATATATACAATTACCATTTTCAATTTGCAGAAAAAAATTAAAGCTGCCTTGGTATCTTCATAGTTTTTGCTTCTTTTCCCACAAGCAGTTTCTTTACTTTCCCCCTTTTTTTCCTTATTTCTTAACTTTGAGATTGCTGATCATTTCTCACAAGTAATATTTATAATTGGTAAATATAATTGAGGAATTAATGAGTATGCCAACAGGGTCAAAGCAAATGAGAGCACGAGAAAGTCTATGAAAACCTGCTTGGACATTTTAGAATTTGTGTTTAAAAATAAAAAGAACACTGAACTCAGAAACAAGAGAATACAGCATCAAGATAATTGTTTACTTTAATTTCCATTAATAATATCATACTCAGTAAGAACATTCAAAGAGGCAAGACAGCAGGATGATTGAGATTAAGGATACTGGTACCCAGAGCTGCTCTGTTTTGGCACAGATACAAAATCTCTATAAGCCTCACCTATTTAGTTCCTTGTCTATGATCTGAGGACAGTACCTACTCCATAGGATCATAAGAATTCAATGATTAATATTTGTAAAGCACATAAAACAGCATCTGGCACCTGAATGAAGGTTAAGTAAGAGATCATTTCCTACAGTTACCCTGTAGTACATGCTGTATGTTACAAGAGACCTTTGGTCCACGTGGCCTGGCTTAAACCAGAAGGGGCTATGATGTGGCAACACCTGAGGTTCACACCATGGTGACCCAGATTTCTCTGCTCTTTGATTTCCAGGTCCTCCAGGTGGGGCTTTCTCTCAGACTAGTAGTGGACAGCTACTAAGTAGCAGTTATACATTTCTGTTCTGAGCAGGCAGGCCAAGGAAGGATCAGTCTCTCTTCTAGAAAGGCATTCTTTGCAAAACAAAGTTCCCTCGGGTACTTTACCACATATACAGGTCACAACAGGGCAACCCCAGAAAGCCCTAGTTTTAAGTGACCCCTAGTTTTAAGTGATTTTGAGAATTGTGCTTTTCAGCTTCTAAAACTAAACAGGACAAAAAACAATGTGGTCTACCAAGGGAAGTGAATGAGCTGATCTGCACAACCCTCCTTACTAACATTAGAATGCCTTCTGATTCTGTATAAAGATCTTCACTCTGCCTCCTAAGACTGGCTGCCTTGGTTCTAGATATTGACAGAAAATTGAGTTGGAAAAGCTGTAGGCAAAAGCTTTTACACAGTCAGAGTAACCAAACTGCTAATGCTAGCTCCTGGCCCAACAGGCAGAGTTACATGCATCCCTCCTGAAGCTCCCAGGAACCAGCCCACTTTCTCTATCAGGCAGGGGCTGACTGCAGCTCAGCCTCCTGTGTCTCCAGCCCCCAAGCCTGAAGCAAAAAGCCTCCACTCCAGCTCATCAATCACACTTCCTCTTTCACACCTTGCTCCATTCCACATGCATGAACATCTTTCTCTCTCACCATGAACAACAGAAATGACAGGGGCCAGAATCCACAACACTGTGGGAAAATATGCGAAAGTCAATTCAAGTAAACTAGAAATCCCTAAGGGGAATGCAAACATTGACAAGAGATCCTTGCTTTGTAATATTAGAGCGAGATCTGTTGTTAGCCATTTAAAGTTAGAAGTAATTTCTTTAATTATCAGTGTGTCCTTTGGTTTAATTTTAGAGGCAGGATGTAAAAAATAATGGAAAGCAAAATAAAAAAGGAGAATGAAGGTAGAAAGATTGTAGTTACCATTCGTTAAGTCTCACTATGTGATGCTTGACCTTTTGGGTCTATTTCATTTTTTACCATTTGGCAATTTATCATCATTTTAGACCCCGACTGTCCAGTCCTAAAGAACCTAGTAAGTGTTCTACCTTCTTTCTTCCAAGTCCAACTCCTTGATCACCAAGGTGAACTGCTGGGTGCATCCCACAATCCCAACAGTTACTGAGAAATCTCCCCACATCAAATAAAACAAACATGCTTGAAATGCGCTGCCAATAACTACTACTCTACTATGCAGACTATTAATATTTATGAGATTCCTTTTAAATAAAATATTGTGCTACATGATTTGGAAAACTAATCCCCACCCCCAAAATCTGTCCAAATAATCTTTCAAAACAAAGCAAAAATGAAAGCTCCAAGTCCCTTTTTCTTTTGTTTTTCAAGTGCACTAGGAGTCACTGATTTGAAAAAGAATTGAGAATTTTGGCTGTTCAATAGCTTTCAGGACTTTATAATTAGCCTTCTTTTTAACACAAATGACAGGATGCTGTTAGAGTGCCATTCAAAAATAACAAATGACAATACTGGTTGTTTTATCAATAGAAAACTTTAATCAGTTATACAGGAAATATTTTATTGCATTGAATATCAGACTGTGTTTTTATGTCTTAAAAATATGAAATGAAAGAAAAAAATAATAATATATCACACCAAGGAGAAAATTGGAAAACATACCAGAGGAAGCTTCTAGTCTTTCCAATCTGCTGATCAGCCAGTCGAGAGAGCCAGAAAATTGGGCACAGTTTTTACGATTTCCTCTAATTAGAGCCGCTGCAAAAGACAAGGTTTTCACATTTATGTGATTTTCCAGTTCAGAAATCAAGGCTGCCTAACAGAAGCCCTAAAATGTTTGATCAAGAACAAAATACCTTCACAAATTATCTAAATCCTATGCAAATGCATATGCACATATATAAACTAAACTGAACCATTAAAAATTACTTAATATTTATTAACAATGACTGAAAAACAAACAATGCTCATTAGAAAGAATGTAATTCCATAAAGTAACATTTCACATTGGGAGATGATAATGGAAGGGTAATGGAAAAACCAGTGTCCCAGGAGTTTCCTCACTTGGATCTTAAAACTCATTGCTTTTAATTAGCCAGGAAACTACATTATTTCATCTCTCTAGAGCCCAATTTTCTCACCTATACCAAGAAGTTAAGTGTACATCAGTTTTCCTGAAAATATATCACAAAATACTAGGAGATATAATTAGTAATTACAACCCTACATGTACACTGAGAGATACAATAAAATACCACATGGAAGAGAGAGCTGATAGCTAACATACGTGGAAACTACATACACATTTTTATGTATCTTGTTTCCATTTTTTTACCACAATGTGTATCTGGACTCTGAGGTAACATGGAATAAAGAAACCTATTCCAACTTTGACCAAATATTCTTCCTTGCATGAAATTCTTACATGACTTTTAACATAGTTTATGATTCAATTTAAAATGTTTAATTTCTTAGTTAAAAATTCAATGAGTTCAATACTTTTAAAATAAGACTGACTTTTTAAACGTAATTTTTATTCCTAAATCTGTAATATGACTCAGAAACAGTAACTGCCTTCAAAGGTTTGGTAATATTTTTGAATAACATGGTATTTTATAGGAAACAAGATCTCTCCACAGGGAAAAATCACTGTTTACAGTTTGGTCCCACTAGGAAGCAGATTGAAGATGCCTGAGGCTGTTGCCTGGGTACCTGCTGATTAACAGCAAGTGGGAGGAGACCCCAAGGTTAGAGTGTGCAACTAAACTTAAAGATGTCCTGGTCACTTCCTTTTGCCAAAGAAAAATAATAAAAGATGACACCTGAAATGGACCAACCCAAGAAGTCTTCTCTTCATAGAGTTGCTAAGAGGGGTTGGTGCCTCCAGGATATGTGTACCAAGATGACAAGAGGATACACTCCAATCCTGGGCTCTCAACACCCAGCTCTGGGGCTAGCAGTCTCCCAGAAGTCAGCCAATGAGTGGCACCCAAAGAGGCAGGTGCTTGGAGCATGAGTTAAGGATGGAATGCAGCAGACGGATGAGGAGGTGTAAGCAGACTTATGCTGAATGACACTCCTAGCTTTAATCTCCAAGAATATCTGTCCCCAATTTAGTACAAGAGCAATCAGAGAAAAGTATAGGATGGAGTTTTTGACGTTTCATAGAATCTCAACCATATAAAATTTGACTGATAATTTTAATTTTAATTTTTTTTTCAAATCAAAGACATGATATATCTAATAAAGGTCAAATATCAGAAATAAGGTGATTTTGGGAGAAACTAAGAGTGCAAGAATCAACTCCTTTAATATCCCACCAGAAATATAAAAAAGCATATACTAAGTCACAAAGAAAATTTCATTAAATTTACCACAAACAGAAATGATATAGACAAAGTTCTTTGACACTACATGATGAAATTAAAACTTAATGAGGAAAATGGAAACAAAAATAAAATTGAGGCATTTAAAATTTTAAATTCAATCCATATAATATGTGGATATATGAGGGAACCATTACTGTAATACAGAATATTTAATAAATATCAAATATGAGGGCATTGCCTAACACAACTAGAGGCAAATGGCAAAAACTGAGAAAAATTAATTGAACATTTAATTGCTAAAGAATAGGATGAAAATCTTAAACACTTCTTTCAAAGTATAGGAAAAGAACAGTAAATAAACATAAGTAGAAATATCAATAAAAGTAGAAATTAATACATTAGAAATTGATCCATATGATTAAAATAGTCAGACTGACCAAAATATCCAAATTATTTTATGATAGTCAACATGTTAACTGTGTATATTGATGGGATTAACTGTATATTTCCATACATAGATATGGCATGCACTGATCATGGCCATCCAATCTTCAAACAATTTTCAATAAAAGCTAACTATGCTACTTTAATCTAAAAAGAAAAAAACTAAGAAGAAAAAAGTATAGATACAGATATTTTATGTATCTCACTACTAAAATTTCTGGATATGGGGAAAAGAATGGCCGCGAATAAATAATTTTCTCAACAAAATTGACCCAATAGGAGGGAAAAAATCTAAATATAATTTTAAAAAACAGGAATAATATTAAGAACTCTGTCAAGCACCATTTTTCATATATTCAATAAAAAATTTATTTACTATTTAAACTATTCTGAAGTGAAGAAAAACTGTCTCCTCATTTTAAAGAGAGTATCACTAAATCTGATATCAAAACCTAACAAAGAGCACTCATATAATAAAACAAGAAGCAGTTCTCAGTCATAACTATAAATCCACAAATCTTACATAAGGCTTTATTTACAATTTACAAATCAAATTATTTTACAATTTATTTACAAATCAAAATCAGCAGTCCAGTAGTAATAACCATGAAAGTGTAGATTCATTCCTCCAATGAAAGAGAAAAGTGTCAGGAAGCCTGTAAAAAGATGTGCAAAAATAAAACATACCATGATCTTAATAGACTCTGAAAAATATACATACTTATAAGGAAATAAGATTTAAAATATAACCTCCAGAAATGTGTGTGTGCGTGTGTGCATGTGTGTGTGTGTCCAGTTTTATGCCATGGGCAGTACCAGGTATGTTTCATGGATAGTGGGATATGTGAACTATTATGATTTACCAAATCAATTAGAAAGAAATGAATTAAGCAACTTTCTAAGGAAATGAAAAATTATATAAATATAAGAAAGCTCATCAAATACTTTATAATACAAAAATATCAACCTAAGTAGGGCTAAACAAATAAATGATGCCCCATCTCTCAGAAAGGGCTATATGCCCCCTAAAACCTGATAGAGGCTTATAGTTACTGCCAAGGAAAGATGCCCACAGTAAAAAGTTAAAAATGCACTATAAAAGAACATGGCATGATGCCATTTTTGTAAATATATATGCGTGCGTGCGTATGTGTGTGTGTGTGTGTAAATGTATTGAATATTTAATTTTTAGAATATTTCTTAGAGAATGAGAAATAACTTTCTGGGAAATGTGTTTTGATAAGACCCTAGGATATAAATGGAGAACTTGAAGAAGAATGACGTGGGTGGAACTGCTCTCCCTGGATCTAATAAAAAGGAAACTGTCTTATTCTAAAATAGGAGGGGGAAATGGACCCAGAGGGGTGAAGGGGGAAAGTACCATGGTCTAGGATACCATGATCTCCAGTGATACTTTGAGTCTCCGATAGATTTCTTTAAAAAATTGTAAGTGCTCTGAGAGGCTGAGGTAGGAGAATTGCTAAATTGAGCTCAGCCTGGGCAACTGAGCAAGACCCTGTCTCAAAACTGAAACAAGACACAAGGCTGGGAATGTAGCTCAATGGAAAGGCCCTGAGTTCAAGCCTCAGTGCTCAATAAAAATAGAAGTCTATATGACATCTGTGAAGGGGCTGATTTTTAGAGTAAAACTATTACCTAAAGTATCAGCAGACAATAAGGAAAAAGTATAAAAGTGGGAAGAAGGTGATCAAATAAATCCCAAAGCTGTAAACTTCAAAAGAAAACCTTTAGATTCAGCTCATGAAACTGAAATTTGGACCATGCTAAGCAAATCATCATGGGGAGGAGGACAAAGCTGAAGACCTAGTGCTGCACAGATGTGCACACACACATGCACGCACACACACATATTGTGTGATTCCATGTGTGTATAATGTGAAATATGCTCAACGGAAAAACCTTTACAAGATTATACATTAAAATCAAGGTTACATTTAAGTTTCCATCTTTTTTCTTTTATTATCTTTTTATATTAAAGATATATTAATTTTAAAATAAAATAATACAATAAAGTTGCTTGCTCTTCAAAAAGACAAGTGAAAATGGCATCAGTATTCCCAGTGACAATCACTGTCAGATGTCTCAGAGGGCTACTCTCAACTCCAGAATGCAGTGGCTCCTTTAATCTGAAGAGTAAAACAATGTCCTTTCCTAAATGCAGGACAAGCATGCAATATCTAAAAGCAGTATTTAAATGCTAGCTAACTGGCCTTAAAGACTAAGTTAAGACATTTCATTGTCCATGTACCATTTTTCCCTCATTTATTTAAGAAATATTGATATAAATGCAACAAACTTTTAAAAGGAATATAACACAGTGGTTTACAGGTCTTCCCTTATATTTTAAGTTCCCTTATATCTGATAGTCTGCCTTATTATACCTTTGAACAGTGCATGTAACTTAAGAGATGTGTCACTTTTCAGAATGAGGAAATGAATAAATATTTTATCTTCTATGGAATAAGTATATACACACTACTTTAAAAACTGTAGTGTATTTTAAGTACAATAAAAATATGTGAACAAAGCTCTTAAGAAGAAAATTCTAGCTCAATAAACTAATTTAGTTAATGTTGAATAACTAAATCCCTAAACTTTTTTTCTAGTCAAAATGTGATATGCAGGCAATACTGGTTAATTATTCAAAAATTATTATTGAAAAAACTTTCAATTACACATTTATTATAGTCTCCACTTAAAATGGTTTAAGTTAAAATTTTTCAATTTTACAACAATGCATATGCAATGCATATGCAATGCATATTCACTAGGAACCATACTTCAAATTTTGAATTTCAATCTTTTCTGGGCTATGAATACACACTACTACAATCTCTTGTGACACCGGACAGCAGCCAAGAGCTGTAGATCACAATCAGCCATGTGATTATCAAGGTCAATAAAAGATTTTCTACAATGTACACTGCTGCCAGCATGTTGAGGATACAACTAGTCAATAAATTA